TAATATTTGTAAATTTCTTTAAGAGAACAAAAAAATTTCTTTTTCTATCAGGAATCCTAGTACTCGGCAAAAAATATCAAATGAGTCACTCAGAACTATTCAATCGTGATGTTGGGTATGAAATATTTTATTTTAATTGGTATTTTGGAACTGTGAATCGCCGATTGCCTTTTTATAAGCACAAAAATACTTTTATATACTTCTGCAAAGAAAGCTGACACTCTAATCAAAACTATCTAGTCAGAATTCTGAAATTGGGGTGTTAATTTCACATACCCGTCGACATCAGCCTCTGCCTCTCTCGCTCTAACTCTGTCCCCGCGATATTAAGCCCGGGAATATGCCGGAAAGAAAAATTCGTTCGCCAGAAGATTCCATTTTATTACCATTGTTATTGTTATTACCGTGTTACGCGGAGTGTTCGATCAATTGGAACACGATTGGCGAGGTAATTCCTCGTGAAAAAAGATACGAGTAGAAGATAAGGGAACAAGTATCTCTCGTCGATGGGGTCGCGTGGGCTTTCGGAAAAATGCACGTTTTCAAGGGAAACAAAATGAAGTACAGTGGACGTTTCGCGCTCGTAGGGACAAAGCAGGCGTCAGTAAAGCTTTGTGTAACAGGCCATGAATTCTAGCTATGCTGTTGAAACCGGCAAATCATATTACGCGGAACACAGAGGGGGAGAGAAAGAGAGAGAGAGAGAGAGAGAGAGAGAGCTGAAAGAGCGGCCGCTACATTGTATCGTCACCTGGTTTAGTGACGCGAATTGTTAATCGGTATGCGGTCCGTACAAAAGAACGCGGTATATTTTCGGTAAACGGAGTGGAATGAGAAAGAGAGAAAGGCAGAAAGAAAGAGAGAGAGGATGGAGAAGGATGGCGGTAAAATCGCGGATAATTAAGCACCACGAAAGTGACAAGCGGAATGACAGCTCGCGGTCCGTCCTGATCGACTCGGTTAAGTTCGTGCATATTTAAAAACCGGGTCGACGGTTCGTTAAAGAGAGAGAGAAAGAGAGAGAGAAAGAGAGAGAGAGAAATAGTGCGATTTGATTAACCGTTATACGTCTATAGAGCGAATCGCACAGTGACATGAGACGAGCGTCAAATATTTCGTGCGCGAAATTAATGTATAATTTACGGCGACGAAGCTGGCAAGTAAAAGTGCGATAAACGCAAAAGTACTGAGCAAATAGCAAATAAATAAGCGAGTAGAGGAGATGAGAAGAACGAGGGAGTAAGGAGGGAGAGGGGGGAATAAATATGCCGGCTCTCTCACGACGCCCGCACAACGACGGAACCGCGCAGAAAAAGAATTCCTTTCACGGACGGTTATCGATGACGCCGACGCGACGAGAAAGTTTCGATAAAGAGTAGGCGGCTTGCGAAATCACGCTGGCTCTCGATATTGAATATTCATGCAAGGTGGAATCGCTCTACCTCTACCACCTTCTCCTCCTCCTACGATTCTGCCGCGCCACGCGGCCATCTCCTCTTTACTCCTCTCGTCGTTGGTCTCTCTTCCGCTCATATCGTAGCTCCTGCGCGACTCTTAAGGTCGGTCGATACACGATACCAGGCCATTCCGTCGAATCGCGCGCCCAAAGGGTGTTATGTTTACCGGAGATTTCCGACGAGATGATATTCGCACGATTATGAAATACGAGAGCGAGAGAGAAAGGGAGGAAGAGAGAGAAAACAGTACGATTGGATTTATGAAATGTAACGCGTATTATGTTGTAGTATGCAATACCCGTGAAATCGATACTCTTTAAAGTACAATCAGTACATTCATCATTGAAAGGTTATAGATAGATGGATAGATTAATTTATAACGCGCTCTGCGAAACATTCTCCTCACGCACACAAGTGCAGGAAATAACAAAAATTATATAAAATACAGCTCTATACGTTACAGAACACAAACTGTAACAGATTCTTTTAGAATACAAACTGTATAGGCAAAGAGAAATTGGAAAATAAAGTACAGGTGGTTCAGTTCCAAGTGCAACACTGTAATCAATAAAATCCCGTTGAAAGAATCAGTTAATAATAGCGGCTGTAGTTGCTATTATCGATGCAGTCTGCGTACATAGATAGGTGTCATTGCACGCAAGGCGCATGGAAGCCGTTAATTCCATTTCGTCACAAACGCGGAGAGTTGAATTTCATACGGCGCATAACGAATTTGTGTACTACAAACTTTCCAGTGAAATCTCACTGATCAAAATGTATGAGATACAAGATAGAGCAGCGGGAGAGTTTTCACTGAAAATCAGCGAATAGTCGCTGTTTATCGTGGTAAAGTGCTCCTTTTTCCGATTCAGTCAAAAACATTTTCTTTCTGATTCACTGTAAGAGAGCGGTTTTGTGGAAGATGATTATTCTCGTTTCTCGACATTGTTGCACTCGTATCTTGCATATTTCACGCCGAGTCAGATACGCAATGGGAAAGAATCGCGTCAATCGGCAGCTTTTCGGTCAATATCGCCGGAGTTGTCCGGGCAATTTACGCGGCGGATCACACCGGGAAAGTGGTGGAAGGTAGAGTCGCCGGCGAGAGAACTTGGCAGCTCTTCAATGCGAAATTCCGGAAGTCCCGGGCGAGCTTAGCCGACAAAGCGAGACGGCCCGGGACAGTTTGGTGGTGTCGTGGCGCGGAAATTTCGACGGTAAAGCTCGTACGCGGGAAAACGCAAATATGTCGCGAGCGAAATTCGCACGCTCGTAGATCGAGTTAATTTCCGAAAGAGATTACTTAATATTCCAAGCAGCATCACGATTTTGATCGAATGGTAAATTGATAGGCGAGAATCATTGTCGACCCAAAAAACGGACAACTCGAACCGTTTGCGCACCGTCCTTTGTGGCGCGATATCAGCCGCGAAACTCGTCTATTTACCTTAAATGAAACACGTTCATTCGCGTTACGCTCGAGCGACGAACAGAGGACATTACCGGCCGCGCTATAATCAAAATGGATTACGAATAAATTACGGCGAATTACAGCGAATTACATCCGAGCGAGCGCGGAATCGCTGGGCTGCTCGCGGATCAACGCGTCAAACGAAATCTATTTAACACATTAACGCGCGCGGATACTTATTCGGGAGCGGCGCGTCGGTGGGAAAAAAGAACAGTACTCGCGGTATGCGCGACAAGCCAGCGAGATGAAACACGCGATGTGCATCCCACGCTTCCTTCTTCTCTTTCTTTCTCTCTCTCTCTCTCTCTCGCGCGCGCGCGCATCACGAAGAAGGACGTCTCGGAGAGCGCGCATACGCGCCATTCCAACGACAGATAAAACTCGGTAGCTCGTTCCCCCCGTAGAAGGGGAGAAGACACGGCGAGTCGCGGGGAGTGCCCGGCCCGTCGTCCATTCAACGCCGGCAATTCTCTCCCGGCGCGGCGATTCCGCGCCGAAAAATGCAATTGGATGTAAAAATGCTCGTAGTGGCGCTTACGCGAAAGCTCTGCTCTACCGGAGACTATGAATTCTGATGGATCTTTCTCCCCCGTCGAAGAGTTGCTTTCGGCCAGAACGACGCTGATTTGCATTATGCAATTTGCGCGCGCGCGAGCCAAAGTCCGTAGTCTCGAAATATCGCGCGGATCGCTCGCGAAAGACGTTGAATCCGTTTTGCATATCCTTTTTCTCCTTCTACTTTTTCCCTACGAGAGACTTCATCTCTCTCCCCCCCCCCCCTTCTCTCTCTCTCTCTCTCTCTTTCTCTCTCTGTGTCTTTTTACGTTTTTATTCTGTTTTTTATTATCGCCAAGGTGCCACGGTATCTTTCCGGCGCGCAACCATGTTGTAACCGCGAGACCGTATAAATGGAATTGCTCGTGTCGTAAACATGCGTTGCTTCAGATTAAAATGGCAAATGTATGGTAAACATCGCGCGCCTTTAAATATCCGCGCTCGTATCGCCCCAGAGAATTGGAAATGAAGGCGAACAGAGTTATTCGGGGAACGGCGTGTGTATTGCCGCGCGAAGGGAATAACTTGTAATCTGTATGCACGCGGCGCGCGCATACCAACGATATAAACAGGTCGCCGTCTCTCACCCCGTAGCATTAAATATAAATACGTAGAGAATTTAAAGGAAAAAAGAATTGTTCTCATAATTATCTGACCTTTTAATATTCCGACTGAATATATGTGTGATACATTCGATATGATGGTTCATTTTAAGTATCGTGTCATGCGTTGTCCTGTCGTGTCGCGAGTGGCACGTGTACCGTTAAACTGCGCAAAACTCAAGAAAAAACTCGCTTATTACCAAGCAAACGAAATTCTAATGTAAACGAACCTATTTGTATTCTCCCCATTATCGCGTGCGACCACGGTCGCGGTACTTCCCAGACATCTTTCATAACTACAACTCACAGTGCGTGTCACCCAAACTCGAAATTTCAAGGAGACGATTAAGGCGGGAAAGAACTACGTTGCATCCGAAAGCGACGAATTAACCCGACCAATGTTTCTCTCCGTGAGTGTAAACAGCGGAAAAATTCTTTACATCGGAAAAATTTTTTCCAAAACATCTCTCGCGTGTACGTGTGATGCATGAAATATCATCCAGATGATGCGAGACACTCTGTGTATCAGGTGTGAATTATTAGCCGCACCTGTTATCAACGTTACACCAGCGTTGTTCCACTTACGGAAACGCAAAAAATGGAAAATGCGCGCGTTTTTCTCTTTTCCTTTTTTTATCTACGCTCGTCGGTGTACTCCAGCGACACGAGCGTTTTGCTCGCTACACGGTGTCGTTTCGCTTCGAAGACAACGTCTCCTCCCGATTTTTCCCCGGCGAGCAGAAGATTAGCGACTAATTGCCGTCTCGCGTGGGACAGCGCGCGCATTTTCACGTTCGCGGGGACGCGGCGATTCCGCGATTCCGCCGCGATAAAGCACGAGAAAACACCCGCGCAAACTACAATTACGCGCAACTATGCACGCGCGTGCATACAAGAGACACGAAAGACTCCTACCTGGTGTGGCTGCGGGATGTGTCGGGGACGGGCTCCGTGGCTATTAGCCAGCCGTGCTTACGGGGCGCATAAGCGCAACCTCCACCTCCGAACTGCGCCGGCTTTGTCTCTGCATCCTGGAAAAAAAAGCGAAAAAGAGATGAGCTTCAACACGCTCGAGTCAACATACTCGCGCCGCGCGTCGTATTCATTCAATTCGGCTCAAGCATTACGAATTTTGACCCTAAACGGATCAATGTAAAGTACCTCTTTCCTCCCCCCCCCCTCTCTCTCTCTCTAATATATTCGAGAGATTAAAAGCCGCCGGATCACAATGGACCGCGCGCAAAAAGGAGAATAAGTGCTACGATGCGCGTTACGACGGTCGCTTAGATATCGACAGGAATACGGTATAAGGGAGAAAGAAATCGAAGGACTGCGTTATCTCGCGCGCGCGCGCGCGCACCGATGAGCGGCGCGAGAATTTATATCGCTTCGGGTTTATACCGCTCGAAAGTTTATATTGGATTTCATATTTAATGCAACGTACGCCGCCGCCAGCGCGCCGTCGACTCGCTTCGCTCGCGCGTCTCCCAGATAAATTATTTATGTCGGGCCGCTTTGTCTCCGTCCGCTTCCGAAGGATGACGACGGAGCAGCGGCAGCAGCAGAAGCATGCTCGCCTCGGAAAAACGGATGATCGGTGTAGGAGCCGCGATAAGCCGCGCCGAACGAAAACCGCGGTCGTTGATCTTCACGAGCGCTTGCGAATGGGAGACGCGCGCCGTCGACGCGACCCAGAATATTTCTCCTGCCAAAGGCCGAGGCTCGGAATCTCGTTCCCCCTACGCTGCGCGCTATATCGCGAATAATCAACCAAACGAATATGAATATTAACAGTCTCGCATGAATATTAATGATCACGGATACTCGCAATTGTAGAATTAGAACGAGCTTTCAGGAACGACAGTCGCACGACTTAGGGAGGCCACCAAGCGCCGAACGGACAATTACGCTGAAACGTCTGCGCGAAGTGTACCCGAGCAAAGTGCGCGTGAAACTTTATGCGATAAACGCTTCCGGCGCTTTCCATTCCTCGTATTTCGACATATTCTGGCATCTTTGTTCACTATATATATACATATGTGTGTGTGTGTGTGTGTGTGTGTGTGTGTGTGTGTGTGTGTGTGTGTGTGTAAATATATCGCGTGCGTGCTACGTGTATCGTATCGACAGACGTTATTGGAAACTTGGAGCACCGCTTGAATACACTGAGAAAAACGAGGGCACTATTACTTCCTAATAAAGTACTTACGACACGTCCCGACGACCGCACATCGCTATTTTCGACACTCTCGACACTTGTTTCCGCACGAAGCTCACTTTCGATCGACAAAAGACACGTAAAGCGCGATCGATGTGTTAATGGCGGCTGCTCCACACAAATCGAGAATGGCCGCACAGTTGCTCACGTACGCCCTCTGCACCGTTCAGTTGCGTAGATGCCTTACCATACGATACATCGATTCTCAACAGATCGAATCGGAAAACTTTCGATCGATTATATTCGCGTTCCTCATTACTGTTAATTAATCCAGAAGACATGTCCGGTTTTTCGGATCAACATAGCTAAATATCGGATGCGACTGGTCGAAAAGTTCCAGCAATTATCGATCTATCGACGGTAAAGCATCCACGGGAGAGCGTATGCGTGAATTTTTCGTCAAGATGCAGATGTCTGAATTTCTCGAAAGCAACGCGCTGTCTTTGCCGCCGACCGCGCGGCGGCGCACGTGTAGCACGTCAATGTGTCTGCGCCTTCTTGTCTCTCGCCGTGGATTTCACACCTCTGCCTTTCTTGACCGACGCGCCGCGACGAAGTGTAACATTGTCAACGGTATCAGACGGTATTCTCGCGGAAAAGTGGCAAAATGCAACAAATTGTATTTGAAAGTTTGTCCCCTTTCCAACGAAGGAACAATCGTTTCATTGTATTGTTGACTAATTTAATATATTAAAAAGTTGATAGTATTCCTCACGAGCTGAAGATAAAATCTGCGATTGAAAACTTTCGATTCGGGCGAATCAGAAAACGAATCGCATTGAAGGAATAGCGTTCAATGTATAAGAATAAAATGTATCTTAAATTTTATAAAAACGCATTTTAATTTATATTCTCTCGTTGTATACTCTGGTCTCGCGTGAATACATAAAGACTTCTCACTATCTAAGCTGCCCAGAATTTTTCGGGGATGAAAAGTCTTTCACTATCACGGTATTTGATAAATCACACTTTGATAAATTACCTTGCTACCATCACCATAAAAATGTTACTCCCGAGAATTATGATCCACGTTACGCGAAAAAACATCCAGTTATCTGCTGGCGACAATGGCTCAGCACTGGATGGCTCGTTCTTGAACAATGTTTCACAAGCGCGAACCAGTCAAGCATTAGCAACGTAGTGACATCCGTCTAGCTAACGTATGGGAGACGACTTTTCGCATCCAACAAATGGCGCCCGAAGAAAATACGGCAAGTATCAATCACCATCACTCGTTTATCAATTCGCCGAAAATTCACCGTGCCCGGGGCACGGAAAAGCGGACGAACGAGGGTAAGCGACGTATCGCTGTTGCCAGCAAGGAGCAGCGCAGAAACACACGTCGCGTTTAATTGCCACGAGCATTTGTCGAAGGCGCGAGCCGAGGCTGCGCGGCGCGCGAAGAAGAAACATCACATAATACACACCTAAACGACGGCGTTTCGTACGTGCCAGGAATTCGGCCTGCCGGCTTATTGCGGAACGGCGCTTGCGGGGTCATTAATAACGCGCAAGAGGGTAATTTTCACGCGAGAGAAGAGAAGGACATCGGCCCGCCCCCACCTGCCCTTCCCGTGCCGCGCTCACGCTGCGGGACAATGAAGGACCATCAATTACTTCTCGAGCCCTTCGCGATCGAATGAAGCTATTAAGACGGCCGAGTGTACCGTCGAGCAAGAGCTCGTAACCCTCCCCTCCCGCCCGACCATCGCACCCACCGCTTACCCCTTGCGCCAGCGTTACGGCTTTTCTCGTGGGTGCTCTCTTCCGCACGCTGATGCGGAACGTCTTAATAGCCCGACGATAAGGATCGGGGGATCTCGCTCCTACCCTACTCCCATCCTCGCCGCACTCGGCGGCTTTTTGTCACCGGCATCCTTCGGACGATAAGAATCGACGCGACGACGGCGCACAGAGCAGCGTGTATTAATTAGACGATGACTCGCGGCTATTACCTTAATTAAGCGCACGTCAATCGTTCGTAGAGACCTTCCGTGTCTCCCGCGAGGGATTATGAGCGAGGGTGGACGGGGGGTGAATGACTCCTCGAGTCGAGGAGTATTCTTGAACGCGTGAGAACGCTGTCTGCGATTTGTCTTTCCCTCACTTTCTTCAATTACGAAATAAGATCGAGAGTGACAGTTTGCGAGCGATAAAACGCCCGCACAAAAACGCTTTCGGACGAGTACGAATATATTCCGTGTGTCTCGTAAGCTCTTCCGGCAACAAAGTTCTGTCCGACGTCGCGCAGCGCAGCGGTTGTAAATAATTTCGTGCGGGAGCGAGGGTGGCGATGATTAGTGCAAGGACCGGAGCGTGGCGGCGGCGCATCGATTTATTTACGCCCGAAACGTGGCAGCAGATTTATAGGATTATTGATTGCAGACTTGTCAGCGTCAGTCTGTTACCATGTATTTGAACTCTCTCTCCAACCGAGCAAACGTTCCGTTTACATTTTTCCGAAGCGCCCCAACACAATCGGCCGCTCGGCATCGTTGCCTCCATTGTTCGCGGGTTCGCGCTCGCCGACTCCGCTCGCAATTTGTATCTGCCGTCCCGACGCTGTTATTAACCAAAACCAGACCGCGCGAGATACATCCACGGCGCTGCCCGGCCGCGATAAATCTTATTACAAAAACGGACCGTGCTCTCTCTCTCTCCCCCCCTCTTTCTCTTTCTCTCTGTCTCATGCGCGTTCACGCCACTGGAAACATCGTCCGAGTCTGTAATGGGCGCGAATAAGAACGTTCTTTTTGCAAACATCGTTACGACGCGCCAGTCATTACGGCGTAAATATCTGATCGTGCTTCGTACGCGATTTCGAGGTAAATCCGTCGAGCGCGCATCGGTTAAATTGCTCCCGAATATGTGAACTGCGTCAACGCGGTACATCTTCACAAGCGCGACCGAGCCCGGGGCAATTTATCGATCACCTTCTCTGGTAGAAACGTGTGCAGTTTGCACACGTGGACATCTGTCCAGTTATTGTCTAGTATTAATGCATTCTCATTAGTTATAAAAATACTGCTTGGCAACTGGACAAGGGCTTGATGAAGTTTTATTCAGTGCAGTTGATGCAGTTTATTGCACAATATGTATGGATCTGACTTTTTCCAAGATAAAATAATATCAGTAATATTAGTTGAGTTTTTTTTAATGCGCACGTGTTATAACTTCTATTGTGAGTAAATTTGAAACATATTCATTTACATTACTAAAAAACCTCTAAATCGCGTGAATAATGAGTGAATGTGTAGAAAAGTATACAGCAAGAAGGAAAGAGACAATAAGGTATTTGATATCAAGACCAATAGTTAAGATGACAATCAAGATTAAAAATAAAAGTGAGTAAGAGGCAAATGGGATATATATCGAAAAAACTGAATTTCATTACGATGGAAACATATCAGACTATCTTGATGGTAACGATAAATGAAAACTGTGATGATAAATGAAAATTATCATGATTCAGACTCAGAACCTGATGAAATAGTGCAATTTCAAAAATAGATAAAAAGACATACGTAATCTGATTGTGAAAGATATCACGTAGATGAATGAATGTAAGAAGTTAACGTAATTATTCAGTGACTACTTGAAAAAACTGCATTAAATTTCTACCAGAGTTTCCTTTTGGAAAAGCCTTTCCGATCGGCAAGCGATTTTCCAAAGACACATTCTGTTGACACATTTTTCTCCAACATTTTCATGTTACACACACAATTTAATTCGGGAATTACCTTTCTCGTCTAAAATGCATGCAGTACGATATATAAATGATAATTGTCAATTATATCAATGATAAAATAGCAG